AGAGGATGTCGAAGATTCTCCGGGCGTGGGAGAGGAACCCTACCTGCGAGAGCATCTGGGACACGATCAGCGCGTTCCTGCCCAAGCCCGAGTGAGGAACACGACCCATAGGCTCGCTGTGCTTTTGGGCAAGGATCTGGAGCCGCTGCCGTCGATCCCGCGTCAAGGAGTGGGGGGCCGCAGTAGATCAGAAGTTCTTCTGGGGAACGGACTCTGCGTCGAGCAGCGACGCGGCGGCCCACCTGCACAATCTACTCTCCTGTCACGCGAGAAGGCGAGGTCTGGCACCGGCAACGGTGTTCTATGAGATTAGAAAGTTCTGCGGGAACGCCAGCCAGCAGCAGCTGCAAGAAGCAGCGGACCAATTCTCTTTCGACTGCGCCCTCCCCAGGGCTCTCCGCTGTCTGCATCGAGCGCGCAGGAGGGCGAGATGGACACGAGGGGCCAGCCGCCTCAGCCGTCCGAATGGGACGATCGTGGCGGGCTGCAGCACCACAACAGGAGTAGCCAAGCTGATGACGTTGGCTTTGCTCAAGCGGCTGGCGAGCGAAGCCGACGCACGCGGTCGGAGGGGCTCAGGACGGTGGTTGATTTCACGACGTCGAACTTCGGGATCATCACGTCGGAGTCGGCTTCTCGGGGGCCCCCCATCAACCGGAGCAATACGAAGCTCATGCTGTCAGACCACAACGTGCCGCCGCAGTTTGCGCGGGGTCCGCGCTGGAAGCTGGACGCCGACGGGCTGGTCACCTCGCACCGCGACCTCGGCGGCGACTCCCTGGACGGCAGGGCCAGGCGCGCAGGGCACGCTGTCTGCGAGAGTGGCAGCGGCTTCCGACGACTAGGGTCGCTCTGGGCCAGCTCGGTCAGGATGACAAACATAGCCGCGTGTACAGAGCGGGGGGCCCGGCGAAAGCGTCTCGGGGCTCTCACATCTCGGGGATCCCGCCCTCCACTCTCCACAGGCTGAGGGTCCGAGCGTGCCGCTCCTGCGGACCCCCCCATCCCTGAGACCTCGGTGGGTTTCCGTGTCGTGTCCTCGCCCAGGCTATGGGGCCGGGACCCGTTAGTTGTGGTGACCTGTTCAGCCGTTAAGGTTTGTGACTGCGTGGCGGAACCGCTCGGTCGCCTTGCCTGTTTTGGAATCATGCGTGCAGGATGCTTTGGAGGTTCAGAGCAGCAAGGCCCCCTGGGGCCGAGTTCGGCAGCCAGTGTCGGCCCTTTTTTCTGCTCCTGGACCGTATCCACTGGAGGTTCAACCTCTCGAAGTTAACCCTCATTGGTGACCTCCACCAAGAGTGGTCCATCGATAGATTCTCTCCCAAACTGTTCTTGCTGAGGGTGCTCAACTCGGCCAGGCGAGCGGTCGAAAGAGAGGAGCAACTTAAGCAGCACGATTTTCGTGAATGGAGCGGCCCAATCTGCTGGGAACCTCTCCATCAGTTTCTCGGCAGGAGAGGCTCAGAGGTCTGGTCCAAGGCCCATAAGGCTACTCTCTCGGCCCTGACTGCGAATGTGTATTGGTGCCAGCATCGGGCGTTTGAGCACAGTCCCGAGGCTCCCTTTCTTTGCCAACTCTGCGGTGAGGCCAAGGGCACCCTGTACCATCGTAGGTTTCAGTGCTGTGCGTACGAAGGGTGGCGCCGTGAGAACGTGGACCCCTGGCTGCCAGGGCTGTTCGGGCGATTGGCCATCTTTCGGATGAGGTCAAGGAGCTTTTCAGCAGGTGTCTTTTTCTCAGTCCGAAGCCATGTATCCGCATGCCCCCTTTTTCGTCCCCGAAGGGGCCCATGTCTTCACAGACGGCTCAGGGTTCGAGGGTGGTTTCGAGGGGATCAGGACGGCGGGCTGGTCTGCAGTGGTGCTAGATCTGCATGGAAGAACCATCGCGGCCTCGTTTGGAGCCGTCCCGACAGGAGAAGCGCCAGAACGACTGGCGCGCGCGACGGGGGAGATGCTGCTGTGTTACTGTCGTCCACACGCGCCGTGTTCGGCCCTCATGTTTCCCTGTGTGTAGACTGCGCGGCCACCGTCGGCTGCCTCCGTAACCTGAAGGGGGCAGCGGGCGAGAAGTCGGCCAGAGCCCACTGGTGATCGGAGATTGCCGATCGCCTCGAGGGAGTGAGCGTGCATAAGATTCCTGCTCACACCTCGGCGCAAGATGTCCGCGAGGACAAAAACACAGAGTTGCAGCGCTTTGGGAACTCGGAGGCTGATCGTCCAGCCAAGGAAGGAGCTGAGCCATTCCGCATGCAGCAATGCGATCGCCACCTCGTCGTTGGGCTCGCGGAGTTTGTCCGCAGGCCTGGTGTTTTTTGTGCGAGTCGGCAGGCCGAGTGTAGGGAGCTTGCGGAGAATGATCACCGAGGCTTGGAATGGAGGAGGAGGAGGAGGAGGAGGAGGAGGGGGAGGAGGAGGGGGAGGAGAAGGAGGAGGAGGAGGAGGGGGAGGAGACCCCGTGCCAGGTCTCCCCCCCTCTGTCCTGTCGCCCCCCTGGGCCTGCTGCGCCTGGTGCTGCGGGCCCTGTTGCGCCGCCAGGCGTGCAGGGCGTGCCAGGAGAGGGGGAGGGGGCGAGGGCCCCCGTGGGGCCCCCGCAGGGCGAGCAGCCTCCCGAGGAGCCCCCGACCCGCGGAGCTCGGCTCCAGACTGGTCGCACGCTGGAGCGGGGAGACGCTTACGCGGCGGATCGCTGCCACATTCCATGACGGCATGCTGCGTTGCACCGCCCGTGGAGCCACGGGCCACACTGGCACGAGACAGGGAAGTCTTCGGGCGCAGTGTCGGCCGTCGTCGTCGCCGCCGTCCAGTGGGAGGGCCATCTACTTGACGAGGGTTCGTGCTGGTCTGCACCCTGCCCATCGGAACCCCGGAGGGCTCACGATGGCCTGGGGGCCCCCACTGGTAAATTTCGCGAATGACCCTCAAGGGTCCGAACCTTTCAAGAAACTAAGTTCTCGCGAACTCCGACAATGGGCAGACGTTATCTGTCCGTCGAGGGCAGGAGCGTGCGTTCTGTAGAACGGGCGACGCCAAATAGTGTAATTGTATTGGTTTTAACTCTGCCAGCCCTAACGCCCAGTTTTACAGGCCAAACTACGGCCGCTGGGTAGCGCGGACCAAAAAAACTCCTCCTCCTCTTTCTCCTCCTCTTCCTCCTTCTTCTTCTTCTCCTCTTTCTCCTCCTCCTCCTCCTCCTCCTCCTCCTCCTCCTCCTCCTCCTCCTCCTCCTCCTCCTTCTTTCTGTCCTCTTTCTCGTCCTCTTTCTCCTCTTTCTCCTCCTCTTCCTCCTCCTACTCTTTCTCTTTCTCCTCCTCTTCCTCCTCCTTTCTTGTCGGCCCGGGCCCACAGCCTCCAGGGGCCTCCGAGGCAGGTGCGGAGGCCTCGGGCGGCTGTCCGCGAGGGCCCAGCTGCCGACCTCGTGCGAGGTCCCGCGCTGCCGGGCCTCGAGCGGCGCGAGGTGGAGACCCTTCGGACCCTGGGGCGCCTGGCAATTCGTCTGTCTGGTTTCGTCAAATTCGGTCGTACCTCACACGGTCGTGCGCGTCCTCCTCCTCCTCCTCCTCCTCCTCCTCCTCCTCCTCCTCCTCCTCCTCCTCCTCCTCCTCCTCCCCTCCTCCTCCTCCCTCCTCCTCCTCCTCCTCCGCCGCCTCCTCCTCCTCCTCCTCCTCTCCTCCTCCTCCTCCTCCTCCCCCTCCCCTCCCCCTCCTCCTCCTCCTCCTCCTCCTCCTCCTCCTCCTCCTCCTCCTCCTCCTCCTCCTCCTCCTCCTCCTCCTCGGGCCGGAGGATCGCGCCGCATCGCCAATGCATCGTCAGTGCGTCTTCAATGCATCGGCGGCGTCGGCGATACATCGGCGCCGTCGGGGTGGAGAAAATCGGGCCCCACATCGAGCCGCATCACCGATGCATCGGCGACGCGGCGCGACCCTCTGACCCTCATCTGCTCGGACCCCATGAAGGAGGCCTGGACTCCTAGACCCTCTGCAAACACCCCGAAATCTCCGAGAATCGCCGAACACATCCGAACACACGGCCCCCGAAACGTTCAATGGCACGCCTGTTTCGAAACAGAACTGGCCCCTGGACCTCTCAGCACCCTCCCCAGAAACGGGGGTCCATGCAAGCGGGGGTCAGAGAGAGCGCCGGATCTTGCAGGATCCTGCAGAACCAGGGGTGCATTGACCTGGGCCAGCGTCAAGGATCCTGCACCATCCTGCAGGATCTAAACAAGACGAAAAATCGGCATGAACATACACTGTTGGCGCTCCGCGCGAATTTCTTGGATCTCCGCTGGACCCCCCTCCCTGGCGCGCGGAGCGCGCCAGGAGCGGCGCTGGAGGCGCCGCCAGGGGGGCCCAGGCGCCGATCCAAGAGATCTGCGCGGGGCGCCACAAGTTTATGTTTATGGCGTCTTATCTTCTAGAACCTAGCAGGATCCTGCCATGCCTGACTGACCCGGATTTAGATTGACCATGGTCCGTGATTTAGGTCGGGCATGTCCTCGTACAGGGGGATTTTGGACGAAAAATAACGAAGAGTCAAAACACATGCAAAAAATGCACAATAAAAATTCCAAAAATCGTCCCCATACTATTTCTTGACTAATTTTGAACTTTCCTTCTGCAGTGGGACACGCCCGACTTAACAGTAGATCCCCCAGGCAGTGACGCGTCCCGGCTCCATTTTTGTGCTGGGCCCAGGGCCCGCTGGCGGCCCCCGCGAGGCCGCATCCGAGGCAAAAACACGCCGGTGGAAACCAACGAGTCGTCGCAGGGCTAGACCCAAACAGTGTCTTCCGCTGTCCTTTCGTAATCGCTTTCCCTCGCTTCGCATGCGTTCCGCCTCTGCTGCAGAACAGGGTCAAACGAAAACGGTGCACGAAATCGCCAAAACACCGTTTAGGTCGTCGTCGTCGTCGTCGTCGTCGTCGTCGTCGTCGTCGTCGTCGTCGTCGTCGTCGGAACTCTGAGCCGCCGCGTCCAAAAAACCCGCGGCGGTAGCGCCTGCGGCAGCTGGGGTTGCGCGCAAACTGCAGATCGCCGCACTGCTTGCAGACCCAGTCGCCGGGCTTGGCGTTCACGGGGGGCCCGGGCGGGCGCTCCTCTCCACGGGCGCGCGGCGCCACGCCGCGCCGCTGGCGCTCTTTGGCGGCGCGCAGAGGGGGGTACGGGGAAGGGGGAAGGCAATTTTAGAAGGCGGCTGCTTCTTAGAAGGCGCCAGCCCTGCATCTATAGACAAGGGCTCCCGCTTTCTAAGAAGCCTGCCCCTCTCCCCCTGCCCCCTCTCCCCCTTCCATCCCTCCTCCTCCTCCACCTCCTCCTCCTCCTCCTCCTCGTCCCCCGCCTTCCCATCCTCCTCCTCCTCCTCTTCCTCCTCCTCCTCCACCTCCTCCTCCCTCCTCCTCCTCCTCCTCCTCCTCCTCTTCTTCCTCCTCCTCCTTCTCCTCCTCTTCCTCTTCCCCCTCATCCTCTGCCCCTCTCTCCCATACCGTCCTCTGCGAGTTTCCGACCTCTCAACGAGCGCGCGGTGCACACTGGACCGAGCAGGGGAGGTTTAGAGAACGGGAGGAGTCAGGAAGGGGGAGGTTTAGGTCGGACGTGTCTTTGTATATATATATATATATATATATAGAGAGAGATGGGAGCCCCCCCCACCAAGATCTACCTAAACAACCCTTTGTTCGAGGAGATCTGGTCTAGCCGCCGATCAGAGGGTGGCATGGCGGGAGAGAGTGGGAGGGCGAATAAACGGGAGAGCGGGAGAGCGGAAGGCGGGAGAGCGGGAGAGCGGGAGAGCGGGAGGGCGGGAGAGCGGGAGAGCGGGAGAGCGGGAGAGCGGGAGAGCGGGAGAGCGGGAGAGCGGGAGAGCGGGAGAGCGGGAGAGCGGGAGAGCGGGAGAGCGGGAGAGCGGGAGAGCGGGAGAGCGGGAGAGAGCGGGAGAGCGGGAGAGCGGGAGAGCGGGAGAGCGGGAGAGCGGGAGAGCGGGAGAGCGGGAGAGCGGGAGAAGAGCGGGAGAGAGCGGGAGCGGGAGCGGGAGAGCGGGAGAGCGGGAGAGCGGGAGAGCGGAGAGCGGAAGCCGGGAGAGCGGGAGAGAGCGGGAGAGCGGGAGAGCGGGGAGAGCGGGAGAGCGGCGGGGGTGCTGGGGGGCGGCCGGGTCCGCCGGGGCGGACTCCGGCCATTGCAATTTGCACGTTGACCCATTCCCTAGCTCCGCTCTCCCCGCTCTCCCGCTCTCTCCCGCTCTCCCGCTCTCCCGCTCTCCCGCTCTCCCGCTCTCCCGCTCTCCCCTCTCCCGCTCTCTCCCGCTCTCCCGCTCTCCCGCTCTCCCGCTCTCCCGCTCTCCCGCTCTCCCGCTCTCCCGCTCTCCCGCTCTCCCGCTCTCCCGCTTTCCCGCTTTCCCGCTCTCCCGCTCTCCCGCTCTCCCGCCCTCCCGCTCTCCCGCTTTCCCGCTCTCCCGCCCTCCCGGTCCAGGCGCGATGAGGAGGAGGAGGAGGAGGAGGAGGAGGAGGAGGACGATGATGACGATGAGGAGGAGGAGGAGGAGAAGGAGGAGGAGGAGGAGGAAGAGGGCTGTATTGGACTTTATTGAATCGCTTCGCTCACTCCGCAGGCTCATTTCGAATGACTGAGGCCTCTTTGGGGTGTCCGAGGGTCTCCTAGCTTTCGGGCCTCAAAGGCTTTCGGGCCTCAAAGGCTTTCGGGCCTCAAAGGCCTCGAAAAGGATCCGCGTTCATTCCGACTCCGTTTCGTTCTTCCGTTGTCCCTCTCTATCTCTCTCTGTCTCTCCAATTGGGAGCGCTGAACTCTTCCTGGCGCCGAACCCTCCGGGGCTCGTGCCAGGTGTCAGTAGCGGTGAACCCTTCGGGGCTCGTGCTACTCCAATTGGGAGCGCTGAACCCTACGGGGTTCGTGCTCCCAGCCACCTGGCGCTGAACCCTCCGGGGCTCGTGCCAGGTGCCAGTAGCGCTGAACCCTTCGGAGCTCGTGCCACTCCCATTGGGAGCGCTGAACCCTTCGGGGCTCGTGCTCCCAGTCACCTGGCGCTGAACCCTTCGGGGCTCGTGCCAGGTGCGAGCAGCGCTGAACCCTTCGGGGCTCGTGCTACTCCAATTGGGAGCGCTGAACCCTTCGGGGCTCGTGCTCCCAGTCACCTGGCGCTGAACCCTTCGGGGCTCGTGCCAGGTGCGAGCAGCGGTGAACCCTTCGGGGCTCGTGCTACTCCAAGTGGGAGCGCTGAACCCTATGGGGCTCGTGCTCCCAGCCACCTGGCGCTGAACCCTCCGGGGCTCGTGGCAGGTGCCAGTAGCGCTGAACCCTTCGGGGCTCGTGCTACTGAGTCGCGTCGCACCGTCTTGATCATTATTCATGCACTCATTGTGTTTTGCGAACAAGGGGCCACTAACGCAATTTGTTTTAGGTTCTGGGGCCCGCCTTTCAAAATCTGAAGATTTTGCATTGAAGCGCTGCAAGGGCATTTCCAGCCACGAATTCCTGACGCGCTTGCGTATGTTATTCGAGCTGTTTTTGTTGTTGAATGCATCTTGGATCCGCGAGCGTCATTTTCCACCCTGGGGAGTGCACCGGGGCTCGAAAAAACGTAGGAGAGCGCTGCTGGGTTATTGCATTGAGTTTCTGACGCAATTGCATGTGTTTTGCTGGTTACATCTGTGGGTGAGTGCAGCAGGGTGACGATGAGTGCAGCAGGATGATGAGGATGAGTCCTAGCAGGAAGAGGGCCAGGAGGAGGAGGACTAGGAGGAATAGTATGAGCAGGAGGAGGAGGATGGAGGAGGAGGAGGAGCAGGAGGAGCAGGAGGAAAATGAAGAGCGGAGAGCCTGATGCTTTGATCAAGCCTGAAGAGGATCTTCCCTCTCGGACTGCGTCTCGCGAGCCTCTCTGCTTCGCTCTCGGCGGCATCATTCCATCGCCTCCCGAAGGTCCGAGAAGCCGCGCACGCAACTCTATACATGTCAAGCGGCTCTGGGATCTCTAATCCACACTTGCCTGAAACCGGGCCAGAGCAGAACTCGCCTCCTCGACTCGCAGCTTCTCCGCCCGCTGAGCTCGGATCTTGGCCGACGGAATACACAGGGGCCGAAGCTTGGGAGGCGGGGTTAAAGTCGAATTCGGATAGAGGCTTCTCCTGATCCTACTACGCTGGGTACCTAACCCAGGATAGAAGAGGAGGAGGAGGAGGAGGAAGGACAGGAGGTGGAGGAGGAGGAGGAGGACGCGGAGCAGAATGAGGAGTAGGAGGAGGAGGGGGGCGGAGGATACCAAGGAGATATTTTTGAGGCCTCCTGCGAGCCTCTTAGGAGCCGCACGGCGGCCGAAAGGCCACCGGAAGGCTACCGAAATGCTACCGAAGGCTACTGGAGGGCTACGGAATGCTACCGAGGGCTACGGAGGGCGACCGAAAGGCTACGGAGGGTACCGGAACGCTACCGAAGAGCTACCAGAGAGTTACAGGCGAGCTGCCGCAAGATCGGCGAGGCAATCGAAAACCAAAAGATCTCCTTGTAAGGATGTAGTGTTGTGTGTTGCTTGGGTGTGTGGGGGTATTATATGGAGTTCGCCGCGGCCGCATTGAGTTAATAGCATTGTTTGTGGAAGCTGTAACGCCGAAGTGCTATTCCATTGCAACTGTGTAGGCCTCAAACCACTGGGGAAATTTTCTTCTCTGAAGGGGGAAACGCCTGCAAATTTTCAAGAACGGTGTTTTTCACACCGCCGTAGCATTTCAGCGTGCTACGTAGCACTACGCTGTGCTACGGTTGAGATACGTGGCATCACAAGAGCGCTGCTTGGAGCTACGGGAGCAGATGCTGCGTCACGGGTGCATCACTACCATGAGCACCCGCCCCCAAACACAAGCACGACGAAATGCCACCACGACTACTGCTACTACTACCACCAGCGAGCTGGCGAGCAGCCAACCAAGCGAATCCGTGTACATAGACACGATGCACAACGATACCACGCCAGCAATGACGCCACGCAGGCAACCAGCAAGAGGGGAACCTACACGGAGGATCAAGTACGACTCACAGCAGCAAACAAATCAAGACTGACAGCAGAAAACACAAAGAGCAACCAAGCGCAGAAATGCACAGAGCAATTAGCGAGGACGACCAGGAGCAGAAACGCAAAGTACGAATTCTGGCCGCGCGTCCGTACAAACGCGGGGCATCCTGTTTTGGATGCCCCCGTTTTGGAGGATTCGGTGGTGTTTCGCACTCTCGGGGTGGCAGGAGGGACTGGTCCTACGCGATTGATGAAGCACAGCGGATGTCAATAACTTCGATATTCATAACCACTGTTTCGCACGTCGTTTATCGGCTCAAGCACCCCGTTCGATCGGGTTTTCATTTCTCTTGCGAACCACAATGGCGCTCGAGCGGGCGTTCGTCACTGACGTCGGCCCTGGCGCTGCCTTGCCGCCTGACACGGCATGGCGCAAGCTCAGCGCCCGACAGAGCAACCGCGTGGCTGCTGGCCAGGACGGCGAGACGCATTCTGAAATGGAAAACAATTGCGCCACAGGTGCGGCACTGCAAAAAGAGAGTCAAGAAGAACGGGAAGTGGGTGTGGATGAAGCCGTGCTACGCACGTTTGGCAACCCATAAACTTCCGAATGGTAGGAAGTTGCGGACCAAGGCTGGCTCACAGGTCATCGATAGCGCTTGGAAGTTTACCCACAGTACTCTGGGTGGGCAGACAATGGTCCCTAACTCAGAAACAGCGGCTACTGCAATCCGCAGCGCCCAATGGCTTTATTGGCACAGGGGCAAAGATCTCTGGGCCGAGATGGGTTCAACGCTCTGTTCCAATTTCTGGCGGGGGTAGATTCCTTACTTGGCACTCCTTGACAATGCTAGCGCGGCCCGCGCGAATCCTTGCGCCCAAACCAGATCGCCTTCATCATTCGAACGCCGTGCTCAAAACAATCCAAGTTATCCTAGTCCTAGAGTATACATCCCGAGGTAGATATTGGTGGGGGGGCACGCCTATATATATATATATATATATATATATATACACACACACATACATACATACATACATACATACCTACATATGTACAAATACACACATATGTAT